AAAGAAAACTGCTATACAGTCATTTTCCAAGACATTGTGGTATTTACTTTATATCTGTGACTTTCCACAAAATAATAATACAGCAAATCACTGTTGAGCAAATCTCAATTCTAAACAAACAAACAATAAAAAAAAAGATTTCCACATAAGCCAGAATCACACATCCTTCCAAGGATGGTGCTGCCGGGAATCATGGGTCATATTTGAAAAGATGTGACAGCACCACCCCCCCCACCCCCACCCTCAGTGCATTTAACAATAGTGCTGCATCACCCCCGCCAGCTCAGGCCCCCCTTACAGTCCTGCCCTTTTCAACCCTGCTGAATATTATTCATAGCACCTTGTCTCTATCACGGCATCTGTAAAAACTAAACACGATCATCCTAAAATTAATGAGCCGTATCCACCCCATTACATTTATCTGTTTAGTGGTGTTTTGGGCCTTCCTTTAGGGCATTATGCATGCTCCTCTGTTCATATTTATAACCCAGGCTTTTTATTAGCGACGTAGTGGGGTGCTAACAGTTGGGAGGCAGCCTGCGCTTTGATGGTGATGGCAGGCGGCTCGGCGCAGGCCAAATGTGAGGGGAGGTGACGTGGGGGAGAGAGGATCAGCTGCCAGGCCGAGGGCCCCCGTGGAAGAAGGGGAGGAGAGGGTGAGACGGAGAGGAGCAGAAAGAGAGAGAGAGAGAGAGAGAGTAAGACTTTTACTTGGAAATCAGTAGAATGAAAAGTAGAAGTGAAAAGTGAATGGTTCGCAGCTCTCAGCCTGTTTGACTTTGTGAGAAGCACGCCGTGTGATCAGCATGTATTTGTCACACCTGCTGTATTTTAAGCCTCACTAACCCTAGGTGTGTTCAGCATGCATGCTCCAGTGTGTGTGTGTGTGTGTGTGTGTGTGTGTGTGTGTGTGTGTGTGTGTGCATGATACAGAGTGCATTTGTCTCTTTTCCCTTTTTATTGGCTTTTTTTTTTTTTTTTTTTTTTTTTTTAAAAATGTGTATGGGTTTCTACTGGAGTAAAAGGGACAAAGAGGGGATGGGGTGAAGAGGACAAGATTCAAGTGATTTGACCTAAGCTGAGACACTGTGACCTGACTCTGACCTTAACCCTATGTCACTTTTCTGTGGCTGAGTTTATGGTTTTGCCATGTTTTTATGTCCAGACGTGCTTTTTTAACGTGATTCTTTATGCATGAGTATGGAAATGCGGTGTGTAGAGAAAAGGCCTGCGTCCCATGCATCTCATTCTCATTATTTGAAAAGCTTTCCTTGTTGCCGATTTATCATTTGCACTGTATTTATCAAACTGCAGCCAAACCAATCAAACGGATGTATTTTTAATGTACTTGAGAGCTGAAAACCATCGAGGTAATCAACTGAGAACAAACTTCAGTGAAATGAACCATGTTAAGAGTTTAGCCAACTACTTTGATAATTGCTTAATTAATTCAGCCCGTTAATTCAAAGCAAAAAATAATCAGCATTTGTAAGTTCGAGCATCTGAAGAATGTGGGTTTCTTTTTCACTGTTGTGTGTTGTCACCTTGGCCTCGGGGAAATCACAGTTTTCTTATATTTATAGGCGACAAGATCAACTCATTAATCAAAAGGATGTTGGCACTTTAATTGATAATGAAATTAGTTGCAACCCTTAAGTGACGATAAATCAAAAATGATGCAGTGCAGCCAGCAGGGTCACACTAATCTTAATCTTATGGAGAGGACAATAATCCCTACTTTGCAGGAGTGCTGCAGCTTGGATTTTATGCCTCAGCACTGCAGTCAGACCTGAGTTTCAACTCTGACCTTATTTAGCTCAGCTGCACTGATCAATCCTTTATATGAGACATCACCTGATATAACCTGAAAGTGACTTGTGATGGACTAAAAGGTCAAAATCAATTTTGTACAACCAACACCTCTGGATTGATCTTGATAGGCGCTTTGTTTAGTTTTTTTATCAACGATGTGTCACAGTAGGAAAAGCACGGGCTGAATTCCATTTAGCTGGTTCTGTTTCAGGGTGCTGCTGGTCCGTTGTCACTCTGTCATGGCTTAGCGGGACACACCTGCTCCTATAGCTGGTGACGACTCACTGTCTCGCTCGGGAGAGATGTTTGAATCTGGGTTGGAGCACAGTCCCACGTCACCCCACCTCCCTGGATATTTCTCAGGCTTGAAGGTGGAGGTGCTGCTGCTGGAACAGCCGCTGGATTCCTCCAGCTTATCCTAGTTTGCGTGAAGGAATCATCCCGAAAGCCTTTTAGGAAATGGACCCCTGGCTTTGTGCAGAGCCAGTTCTCCCTGCCTGTCCAAATCGGCGTTTGTCCAAACAGGGTTGAAGCGGGCCCTTAGCGCTCCTTTATCTTGGCTATTGTGCAACGATTTGGCTCTTGATTCCTTGCCTACACAAACACACATGCAAGTTGCGCGTTCACTTAAGCCCACGAGAGCGGCGAATAGAAGTGTTTATGCATGTGTGTGGGTGTTCACAGAAACACACACACAAGAGCTGCGTAATTCACACAGAGCGGCATAATTATGCTGCTCACACACACATGTGCGCTAGCAAAATTATGTGCACACACACACACACACACGCGTGCAAACTAGCATAATTACATGCAGCCACATACAGTACATACAATACACCCACACTACACACACAGGAATCGCTGATCAACTGCATGACCTTCTCTCTAACAATGTTAATGTCACCACCTGGGGGAGGAGGGGGGAGTAAGGAAGGGGGTTGGGGGGGGGGTGTGGCTTGATGGAGTGATGGTAAGAAAGAAGGATGGAGAGAAAGAGCGCACTATAAGCTTGTCATACCTGCCACCCCCACCCCACCCCCTCACCTGCAGCCTCTTTCATCCATCTTACTTTGTCAAACATCCCATATTCTGTAAACGCACACATGTGCACACTCATGAGTACAGTATGCATGAACACACACACACACACACACACACACTCCTCACACACCCTCCACGTCTTGTTGTGTCACAGCTGACACCTGAGCACTTCCTAGCACATCACCGTGGGTCGTAACCTAACATTTAGTGTGCATGAACCTTTTTCCGTGTGTGTGTGTGTGTGTGTGTGGCCCGTGGTTTGCCCGCTGACAGGATCCTGTTACGCCAAATGTCACACTTCCAAAAAGGATTCACCCCCCACTGAGAAAATGAAGTCAAGACCTTCCTTCGCTCTGTCTCCCTCTCCTCTCTCCTTCACCTTGCCCCTCCATCACTCTCCTCCTCCTTCTACTCCCCCCCCCCCCCTCTCACTTATCCGTTTCTATCCTCTTTTCCGCTCTCTTGAACTATCTCTACCTCACACACACACGCACTCACCTTGGTGTGCAGTCCTCAGCGTTTTGCTGAATAAAGTCCCCTTCAACTGGTTGGTTTTAGTGGATAATTAGTCCTCACCTTGGGAGAGGAGGAGACCACAATGAAAAGGAAAGGAGGGGGGGGGGGGGATTTTGGTGGAATCGATAGGGGGGGAAAGCAGAAAGAGAAGGGTAATGGGGAAAATGAGTGAGAAGGGGGGGGGGTTGCGAGAGCTGCTGGATGGGTTGCAAACAGTGAAAAGAGTGTTTTTGTCCGCACCTCATGGAGCAGTGCATGCTATTCCCTTCATCATGTCTCGACGCCCTCAATATTTAATTTAGCTCTGAATGAAAGAATAAAGAAACGGACAAAAAAAAAAAACCCTCTCATTTAATTCACGATTCACTGGCTGCAGCAATCAAGGAAACAGTAGAGACCTCTCAGACAGTGCATGAAAGAAGTTCTTTTTTTAAAGGAGGAAAAAAAAAAAAAAACGTAGGCGTGCAGCAGAGGGAGGAGGCACAACACATTATCTTCACTTCTCACTGTAGATGTGGTCTCGAGCAGCTTTTTAATTTGATGTCAGTATGCAAATACTGTAAACAGTCAAGAAACAACTCCAAAGCCCTTTTTGTTCCTGGAAGAAGACGACGACTTAGAGGCGAAATCACACTCCCTTAGCAACAGACGCCCCCCCACCCCCCCCNNNNCCCCCCCCCACTCCAAAAAAGAAAAAATGTGCGGTTTTATTTTTAGAAGGTGCAAACAAGGGAAGGAGGGAGGGTTGTAAGATTGTAAATGTCTCTGATGTGTTCAGTCTGTACAACCTTATTCCTGATAATGGAACTAGCTACTCTGTCTGTCAGTGCCTATTTACACACAAATGAAGTGGCGAGTTGCACGCGCCCAGTGGAGCCGCTAGCCTCCATCTCAGCTGTCAAAACGGGTTAGTGGCTACAAGCGAAACACAACGATCCCTGGGATCAAACTGGCGCCGTCCATTCAAACATAATAGCATCATCCTTGGACATGGAGCATCTCTTTCCCTCCCATTCAGAACCTTGCCAGCTTGTTGCAAAGTAATAGACTCCTCAGGATGCCAGTTCACACAAATCGGGGATGCAGTCTTTTATTTGCCCTCTGCGGGGAGAGGTGTTTGGAGTAATAGGGATGAAGCAGACCATAACTACAGCTGAATAAATCTTCCTATCTTGGCTCAGTGGAAGCCGGTGCACACATGGCTTGTCAAAGCTCTATAAAATGCTGTTTGATAGGAGTTCTCTGCAGTTTAGGACTTCTCCTCTTGCTATCCACTCGCCTCGCTTTCGTTCCGCGCTACAGCGGTTGCAATCAATCAGTGTGTAATCAGGCGTCTTGCTGGAGCTGCCAGGTAATCCGGGCTGTCTTGGAGGCTATCTGTGCGTGTGCACATGTGACAGCTGGCAGAGCTGCTAAGTTGCCTGTCTGGGTGAGGGGATGGCACCATGCAGATTTTCTCTCCACAGCGTGTGAAGGCGTATCGGATGATCTGATGGCTGTAGAAATGGTCAAGTGGGATTTGAGAGTGAGGATGGGTATTTTCAGTGCAGTTGCCCAAATGTGTGAACTTGCCTGAGCTGAATGTAAATAGAGTCTTTTCTCCCACTCTCTCTCTCTCTCTCTTACAGACCTGCCTAGAACTGGAGCGCTATCTGCAGACGGAGCCCAAGCGTCTGTCTGAACTCTTCGACCAAGACCTGGATGGTCTCCTAACCCCGGCCTACCTGAAGGAGGATGGCGAGGAAGAGCTGACGGATGCTCTTCTGCCCAGCCTGCCCAGCCTCCCCGAGCCTCCCAGCCCACCTCCAGTGATCCTCTGCCCAACACGGAAGAACATCCCCTCCACTGGTGCAATGAAAAGGGACCTCAAACCCAAAAGCCAGGGGCTGGAAAACGTAGAAGGCATGGAGGGAGTCCACCAGGCCCAGCTGAGCGCCGTCACCTCCCTGACACCCCCGTCGTCACCGGAACTGGGCCGCCACCTCGTCAAGCCCAACCAGACGCTGACGGCCTCGGCCGATGGGACGCTCACCCTGAAGCTGGTGGCCAGGAAGGTGGGGCTCAGCGCGGCCCGGTTGGTGGCGGCGCATGCCCTCCCTGTGCGGGTGAAGGATGAAGAGGAAGGGGCTGCGTGTATGATCGGGGTTGGGGAGCTACCAGAGAACAAGAAAAGGATTCACCGCTGTCAGTTCAACGGCTGCAGGAAGGTGTACACCAAGAGCTCCCACCTAAAGGCCCATCAGAGGACACACACAGGTGAGAAACAGTCATGAAGGAGTTTGCACACAGATTGATCATTTCTGGATGAAGCTGAAGCAGTAATTGTATTTTTTTGCTCAGCTAATAGTCAGAATGCCATTTTAATTCTAATGCATGATCAGCATTGGGAATAAAATGTACAGTTCCATGTGCAATAGTCATTTAGATTCAGGACAGGTTTGATATACTTGTGTGGAATTGCCCACACAGTTCACATTAATGTAAATGAACTTGTGTAAACGTGGAGCTGTGTAAAGACGCAAGGTCACACGATTTAAATATAACGTATGAACATGAGCAGATGAATCGCTGCACTTTTCAGGTGTAATGTCAGTAAGTGGCCCTAAGTGACTTTTTAGCAAGGCAGCTCTGAGGACGCCTTTTGTCACCAGAGGTAGCTACTTACTGCACCTGCTGGTAATGAAATTGATTGACGCTCATTGTTGGTGACAGGTTAAAAAAGACTCAATCCTGAAGCTAAATGGCTGTTGCACGCTGGAGAGGGCAGCGCCGGAGTGTCACACAGAAACTGAAAGACTGCAACTGAAAAAGCTTCCTATCAATCTTGGTGTGCAGACTGTTCCTACTCACTGGACTTTGACTAGAGTTAGATGCACTCCTGCTCTTTTTTTTCGCCCTTTGATGTTTTTTTCTTATAGCAGTGGTTTTTCTTCAAGTTTCTATACTGTGGTGGACAGTTTGCTTATGGATTATTCTTTTGCTGTATGACGGGAAATAAACAGTGTAAGCACTTTTCCACAAGACAGATAAGAGAGAAGAAATGTGGGCTGTTTTCAGAATAGACTGGTATCAACCTTTTTTTTTAATCTCTGTTCAATGTGAGTACTCTATCTATCCATCTATCCATCCATCCATCCATCCATCCATCCAGCTAGTCTGGTTTCTGAATTCCTAGATAACCTCACTTATAATTGAGGAAAATCCACCTGCTCCACATTCTTGGAACACGTACAAAATGCACATAAAGTGATAAGAAATGTTAAAAGAAACAGCTCTGTAATCACGGAACAGACTTAAAACCCGGTCCCCTCTGTGCCGTATGGAAATACCACCATGTCAGATAAAAATGTGATGATTTAAGAAAACCCACCTCTCTTATCCCCCCTCTCTCTACCTAAGTACTTCTCTGTGCCAAACCAGGACAGGTCCTCCTTGTCAAGGTTCTTCTCAAGAAGGAAAGGGGGGATGGGTTCAGGAGCTATAACTCTCCCGCTCTTCCATCTCAATCCCAAACCACTCAGACCCCTGTCGGGGAGCTGTCCTCCGTCTGAGTAACTGCACAGTGATGGATGGATTGACCTGGATAGGCCACCATTTCCCCGGTTTATTTCAGGCCCTCCCGTCCTCTATGTGTTCTGTAAGTCTAGGTCAGTGCTTCTCAATCCGAGGTTAGAGACGGCAGTAATAAAAAAGATCATTTAAAGACAAAGACAAGAGAAACGCATTGCGAATAAAACAGTGCATTATAATCATGAGGGAAACTATTTGTATGCTTATTCCAAAAATGAAAGTGAAAAAAAAATGTTTGTTGTCAGTGTCTGTCATTATTAAGTAGCAGAGTTTGGCTTCAGCAGCCTTGTGCAAGGTCGTGTTTACACTAAACATGTTTGTAAGGTTTATTGTGAAGTCTTGAATGTTTCCTGTTTTGGTTTTGTTCAGAAGGTGGGAACAATGTCTTTTTTAAACAATGCTGGAAATAATTGGGCTGAAATTGTAGATCCCCACCCCCCCTCTGAAAGAGGCATTCAGGGGTATAATGAGATGAATATTGACACCTGATCAGCAGCCATTGCTCATGCATGGAAGGCCTGGAATAACAAATTAAATGTGTGGTGGACTGCCATCTGGACAGATGCTAATGTATAGCTGTTTCTTTACATGTTTTAAGTGGTGGAGCTACAGCAAACAGCGTCCATCATGCTAAATGAAGTTACAGCCACTAAAATTAGATTTCTTTGCTCCCCTCCATCTAAACCCCGGCACTATTTGTTTGACAGAACACTGACGCCACATGTGACTTGCTTACCAGCTCTGGTTCACTTGTATTTTTTTGGGAGGGGCAGAGGTGGGGGGTGGGGGGGTGAATTTGAAGAAAGTCAACTTGTCAATGTCTGCATGTTCGGGATGATGATGACACGCTGTATGTGTGATCACACCCTCGGTGGTGCACACCACAGGTTTAGGCGTCAGCCCGACTGGAACAAAGGGCACAGACACGCGATCATTGATTTGCCCAGTGTGGCGTGTATACAGCCCCTGTGATTAAACGCCATGCCAACTGGGCTAGCTCGGGGAGACCAGTGCCACTGATGGAGTCCACTCATAATACAAGCATGGGGTTTTACAGGAAGACTAAAACAGACACTCACATGTATCCCGTGTTGGGATTTATTAAGCACAGAAGCGTTGAAATCGCCAAAAGAATATAAATTATGACATTGTGGTTATGCTGTATTTTGTATTGTCATTTGATTTTATATAACCAGATATATTGGGAGCTAGTACCAAGGTGACAACTTGTGACTTGGACCACGTCAACCCAAAGTGAAATACCTCAAAAGCTATTGGACATATCTCTATGAATTTTGACACAGAAATTCATGTTCCCCTAAAGATCAATCGTACTGACTCTGACAAAACGTCAATACTGTCCTGTGCCTTGGTTTTAACCAAATACCTGCACAAACAATGGCTTTCCCATCAGCCCCAGCCTCTTACCATGAATGTAGCTCAAAGCACCACTCTTGACTCTTACACTGGTGTTCTCTCTTTCTTTCTATTTAGAATTTTTTTTATTCCAGGTAATCAACTGATAATCATTTTGTCAGATGTTAGAGAAAGGTAGCTACTGTATGCATTTTCTTTGACTCATCAAATAATCGACTAATTGCAGGATTATATTGCACTGTGCGTCTGAATGCACTAGTGTAAGTGGAAAAAACTGAGGATAGTCCTTGCCAGATCTAAATATCAACTATTGTAGTTGTAAGATAATGAGGCATCCGTTCTTTCAGTATCCAGGAACATTTGAAAATTGATATGATAATGATTTAATAACGCTACATATAGCACCATAATGGGCTCATCTCCTGGAGGAACCCTTCCTCCATGAGCTAATCATTGTCACTTAAGGTGCTTTGGATAAAAGCATCTACCCACAGAACATCTGTCTTGTTATTCATACCGGGGAGGTAGAATCACGAAGGGGGGGAATGTCGACATCAGATGACAAAAGAAAACAGAAAAGCTAGAGAAGAAGGCAGAGGAAGAGGAGAGACTGACGTGGAGAGAAACAAAGAGGAGATGAAGACAGAGGACGGGAATGGGGGAGGTACAGTAGAGCGACCCTCTTCAGCAAAAAGACAGCAGTGCCACAGGCTCCCCCATTCAGTGAGCCATTATCCTGACAAGTTTAAAGATGTCATTACTCAAATCCTCTTTTTCTTAGTTGTTATTTCCATAAATTACCGACGGAGAAAAGGCTACGATTTAATCTGGAATTAGACGGGCTGAGTTGAAATGACAGTGCCCTGTAGAGCTTTTTGTGAATAGGCTTATGGCAGATAAGGAATGGTACAATTAGATTTTGGGCAGGGTGAGGGAACGGGTAAAACACGAGGACTGTTGAGCTATTCTGCCTTCTCTCTCTTTCTCTCTGTTTCTCATATCCATCTTGCTCCCTCACTCTTCCCGTGTTTCTAATCTTTCTCTCTAGCTCTCTCCTCCTTCCGTTGTATATCAGTGTTTTCGTAATATGTCTGTGTATGTGAATGTATGGCTCTCTCTCAAGCTCTTATTTTATCACTCTGCTCTTTTGTGCGCCTCTCTCTCTCTCTCTCTCTCTCTCTCTCTCTAAGGGCTGAACAATTTGATGAAAACGTCTAACAGCAATGCTTTGCTTTTTGCACACTGGCTGTTTATCATGGCTTTGACCGGGCCGCTTAATTCCAGTTAAAGCATCATGCAATCAGACTGCATACAATTCCAACTTTGTTTCAACAGTTTGGGGAAGGCCCCTCCTTGTTTTCCCAGTTTTGGTGTGCAAGAACTTTCCTGTCCTCACTTCACCTCGACCTCATCCAGCACCTTTTTGGATTAAACTGAAATACCAACTGCAGGCCAGGCTTTATCGCCCAGCATCAGTGTTGGACCTTACTAATACTCTTGTGGCTGAATGGGAGGGGGGGCAAATCCCTGCAGCCAGGAGAAGAGGCTGTTTTCAGCAGCAGATTAATGCTCACGGTTTGGAACAAGAAGGTGTCATTTTAAGGCGTCCACACACCTTCTATCTGAATCATATAATACAACACTGTGTCTTGCTGAAGTTAGAAAAAGTAAACAATTTAGTCCACGTGTTAAATTAATCTAATTCTTGCCATTCCTCAATTTCATTCAGATTTAATCCTGACATTTAAAAGTGCACTTATTTTTAATGATTGCATAAGCGGAAAAGGCTGGAAAGTCATATTGGTTATTATAACTATGAACGTTACAATCAATAATTACAATTAAATCATCTATTATAAATAGTAATAAATAATTTGCTGTTTTGAAAATTTCACTTAGGATATAAAGACATTCATCTTTCAGCCCTTCCTCTCTCTAACACACTTTAGTCCTCCATCCGTTCTCCCATCTGTCATCCTCCCCTCGTAACCTGTTTCTCTCCTCCTCTCCCTCTCGCTCCTCGTCAGTGCTGGTTGCAGGCAGGAGCCTATAAAGCGTTCTCCAAGAGCCTCTCTAATGACCTCTGAGACCCGGATGCCCAGCCCCAGCTCCCAACTAATGGAGGGAATGCAATTAACTTCAACGCTGGCACCTGAGAGGCTGGAGCAAGCGCGTGCGTGCGTGCATGAGAGCATTCGGAAGTAACAGATTACACATAATGGGATTACAGTGACTCAGGAAACACCGAGTTATCAGATTACAGATGAGGAATATGTGATTGCTTATTTGATTACTGTAACAAAAAAAAAAAAAAAAAAAAAAAAAAAAAAAAAAAAACATTTTCAGAGGGAAAAGCTTTTTGATTGCTCGTCATTTTTGCCTGCAGTGAGTGAATAGTGTCAGCTAATGGGAATCGTGTTCAATAATGCAGAGTAAATAATGGTTTTCAACAGCGGCACCGTCCAAAATCCTGATTCTTTAAATCAGAGGAAATAATCCACTTAGCCTCATAATCTACATTATATGTTTTACAGGCAAAGTAATCCAAAAGTAACAGAGCGTAATCAGATTATGCTGCTGAGTTTGGGCTAATCCAGTGGATTAGGTGACTGATTGCCATTTTAAGATGCCAATCAGTGGTATTGTAGCATTGTGTTATAAAAGTTCCAGTCCAGTGTGAGTGTGTGTGTGTGTGTGTGTGTGTGTGTTTAAGAAGGCGAGTATGTACCTGTGAGAGGGAGAGGAGAGCAGAGGAGGGGGGTGGAGGGGTTCTGTTGCTAGGCGACGGAGGGCAGCATATCGTTGGAGGAGTCGGTAGCTGAGTGGTTATGTACAGCTGCAGGCTCTGGTCTCTTAGTGCCCCCCCCCCCCGCACCACCATTCACTACTACCACCATGGCCATCCCCCCCAACTCCCTCTCTCCCTCCCTCCCACCTATTGCCCAGTACAGCTCTACAGTTACCGTCGCTAGGCAACTGCCTCCGTGCTCTACCAGCGTGCTCGGTAATTGGCCGGTGGCATGGCGGCGTGCCGTTGCCAGATCCAGCCGGCTGCACTGACTACTGCCTCCTCATGTTTCAGCACCCCCCCACCCACCACCCACCCCCTTCCCACCCACCCACCCTTCCTTCTCCACCACACACACATATAAACACCCCACCCCCTCGCTGCCGTTGCTAGGCAACACAATCAGGCATCCCTGCCTCCCGGGAATCTCATTGGCCAGAGCCGGATGGCCCAGACCTGCTGTTCTGGAGGTTTCTGGGAAGTGAGGCAGGATGGAGGGATACAGGTCCACAATGGGGACATGCATGGATGGTTTTCGAAGGGGACCTGGATAATTTCTCTAAACTAAAGGGACTTAAACTGCATCTTTTTTTATTAACACAAACATGTTTACTGAAAAGGGTTTACCTGCCATGAATATTATTTTATCTGAATTAAATTCTTTTAGTGTCAATGAATCTTAAGTGATACTGAAGTGTCATCAGTTTGTATTCATTATTGGTGTTTTTTGCTTTTTTGTTGTTGTTGTTGCTATGATCATGATCGCTGAGTGGAAGTCACTCTTTTCTCACTTGTTCATTTATCACTTCATCACAGCTGTAACTTCATGCTCCTCTGTTTCTCACCACCAAACCTTACACAATTCCTGCTAATGGAGCGCTCCGTAACATGGCTGCTCGCCGAGTACACTCCACGGACAATGCGACGCTGCAGGTCATATGTCAAGAGATTTGTGTTGTTTTCTCATTTGCCCTGGCTTGTCGTGAAACTTTGGCATTAAATTGCACTTCATGTTAGTGGTAGTGGCATTTAACACACTAAAAACACAGAAATCTACCTTTAATTGGAACAGAAAAACACTGTATACGTTATTGATTTTTTTTTTTTTTTTTTTTTTTTTTAAGCTTCTGCCCCATCTCAACAAATCTGCACACAATTGGCAGATTTCTTCAACAGCTGATGCAGCTAATGGCTCCAAACCACTGCTGTCTTTGTTCAAGCACTCTCCTCACTCACAAAGCTGTTGAGCCATCGATTGTGTTCCTTTTGATAATCACATTCAACAAATTAAGCCACTTTTTGTGCCAAAGCCACTCAAGCAGAGCTGGTCAGTGTGTCAGTGTGTCTGCATTCAACCACGAGCCAGCGGTCCAGATGGGATGTGACTGATGCAGGTGACATGTACGGAGCTGGACGCAGCTGGCAGATTGTGGCTTCCTTGCCATTATGCTGTGTGACTGGCCTAATTATCACTACCCCTCCGCCCACCCCACCCCACCCCACCACTTCCCCTGCCGACATATCTGCAGCCTCCTCTGCCTTAATCCACTTCTGCAGCACTTCTCTCCTACTCCACTTTTCCCTCTCTACCCTCCACTCTTCTTCTGCATGTTCAGCAAGATTGGAGACCAGTGGGAGCTCCGCCGTCCCAGTGTTAAACATTGCTTCGCTCTCTTTCCACTGCAATGAAATCAAAAAATATACAAGATGCAATCCTTTAAAGAAAACCTCTGAAATTTGCAACATCAACTTGAAGGCTCCAAATATTTGTATTCATGATTTCACACCAGTGCTACAGAGTTTTTTATTTTTTATTTTGCAAGACCACAGAAGACAAACAGGCGTGTGATTGGTCGATGAGCGATGAAACAGGTGCTTATTTTTTATTTTATTTTTTTTTGTTGTTGCTTTCATTCCCCAGGTGAGAAACCATACAAGTGCTCGTGGGAGGGCTGCGAGTGGCGATTCGCCCGGAGCGACGAGCTGACGAGGCACTACCGCAAACACACCGGCGCCAAGCCTTTTAAGTGCAACCACTGTGACAGGTCTGTCAAAACACAACTCACCCTCCTTTCCTCTGCCTTATATGTTTTTCTTCCATTTTCCAAGGCTTATTTGAAGTACTTCCACTTGCACAGCAGGCTACATTTCCTATTGTGTTTTGTACACAGTTTGGTTTAGTGAAGAACTGCTACAAGATGCTGGTAACACACCCAAACGTGTTTGGTACTGACCCAGTTTAGAAGTGTGCTGGCAGGATTACTAATGCATGCTTTCTCTGCAACACAACACAACGCAACGCAAGACCCAACCTGCTCAGTCTTTCAATGGGATCCATAGGATGCTCATCCTGTTCTATGCCCACATCAGGCTCCTGTGCAGCATATTAATAGTGAATCTTCTCACATGGTGATACGCGGCCCTGATTTGGAGGCTGCTTTCACACGTGGACAGAAGTGTAAAATGGCTTTAGTACTCATTAGCACCACCACATGTCACCTGTATGGAATTTTAATTTGAACTCTAGTTTTTGGGCACGACTTTGTAGTAAAACAATCATTATAAAGGGTTTATAAGTTCATTTAATTTTAATATATTGTTTATTAATGCTTCATAGATAAATTAAAGGCCATTAATAAGGACAGCTTTTGTGTTTCTAGTTTTTTTTCCCAACATTACTCAACTATGATTTTTTTTTTTTTTTATCTTTGTTGACCAGTAACCACCGTGAACCAAAATACAGGTGTGTGTGTAAGTGTAAATAAAGCCTCAGGCTGACCCAGTGATCGGTGACTATCCTGTAAACTGGAAAATTCCTGGTCTGATCCCTGTGACCTGAGCACCAGGTGTCCTTGAGCACAAACTGACCAGCAGAGGAGTTTTTCCTTTTCTTTTTTTATTCTTAAAAATGTAATCGTTCAGTAAATGGGTTGGGGGCTTCGTGTCTTTACTATTCTTCTCTAATTTGCCAACCGTCCTTTGTTGTCCTGTTTTTCCGACCTTTGTTGACGCTGCATGTTTAGCGTCCGACAAAGCAGAAAAGACCCCCTGAATCTCAGTCAGAGGTGTGGAGGTGCACATCTCTGTCACTTTGAAGACTCGGCTCTGCTTCTTAATTAGTCGCCCTGGCTTCTGGTTAATTATGAAGCACAGCAAAATGTTAATTTGCCGGGCTCCAGTGACAAACTCATCAAGGATTCAGTGGCCCTTGTTCACTAAGAAAAAAGATCAGCTTGACTCGAGACACAAAAATCTTTTCTTCTATTTTAATTACACCCCTCTGTCTGTGATCCGTCCGTCCCTCGCTGACACCTCTGGGATCTCTGAGCAATATTGTCTACGGGAGCCCCCGCAGTGTTTAAGGCAAGGGACCCCAGGTGAAAATTTAGGTGAAAAGGTCATTTTGAATGTATTATACTGCAAAATGTATAGTTTTATAAAATATTGATACATTTCTCATTTATATTCCTGCTGCATTTCATGTCGACTACATTAAAAAAAAGAACATTTTTTAGTATATATTTGTATTTTTGCCATATACATAAAGTTTTGCAACATAAAAAAGTAATATTTGTATTTTTTTAATTTAATTTTGTTTTGATTTTTATTTTATTTATATCTTGTATATATTTTTAAAATTTTATTTTTTATTTTATACATTTTTTTCAAAATAATACAACTTTGCTATTATTTTAAATTTAATTAAATTAATTTTGTTTTTGTTGGGGGATTTTTTATGTTTTTTTTTTTTTACATTTAAACCATGTCAATAATAATAATGTCAAATTTAACTACAACAGTATTCAGATAATCATGAAGCTGAAGATTTCTTGATGTCATCCAATGTGATAAAATGTTTTATGCAGTATTTTGTATGAGTATATGTGTCTTTTAAAAGTGCAGCATCTATCACAGTTAGAGAGAAAGACACAATAGAGAATATGTCACTTCTTGAATCATGCATAGGTTCATTATGAGAGGACAAAAAGAAGTCCCTCTTCACCTGGGGTACTTTGCCTTAATGTGTATGAAAGAGTGTGTGTCTTGGTCATCAGTGCATGAGTATAAATGTGTGTGTGTGTGTGTGTGTGTGTGTGTGTGTGTGTGAGGGAGCAGAGGGCCAGGCAGTGTCAACTTAATCAGGACTCAGCTGGACAGACTGTAAATACAGTATCCCTCCCTCCCCCTCACCCCTGATTTCCCACCTCCCCCCACCACCAGACCACCCCCCTGCAGGCACATCCTTAATTCGGGCCCACCTCTGTCATGTGTCACAAGGCGCCCAACCCCTCCAGCCCAACACACACACACGCACACACACACACATCCACCCTGCTGAGATGAAGGAAGAGGGGAAACAGGGGAGACAGAGAAGACGGGGTGGAAGATTGAGGATGGGTGAGGGGGAGGGGGAGGGTGGGGGAGTAAGGGGAGGAGGAGACAGACCCACGGTGTGCCAGCTGGTGTCGTGCCCCCGAGTCGTGACTCATACTTTACCATCTGTCTGACAGAGCACACACACAGACACGCGAACGCCGCACACCTCCTGAGCCAGTCATCGACCAACCACATGTGTTTGCTGCCGTACACACACTCATGTACACAAAAACCGTCACACACGCAGATGCAGGTGTGACAGTAAGACAGATGATTGCTGGCTCATCCCAGTGTAACTCCCCCTCTTGGCCAAACACTGATTCATCTAGACATCTTAGACTGTTGTCTCTGTCTCAGTGGAAAGAGCCAATCTGAAACGGGTGTCAAAAAATCAACAGTTGCAGAAGTGCGGGGGAGGAAGTCAGACTCGAGCTGAGGCCTCATGTTTCAACACTTTTCGTTAATGAAAGCATAATCTTATTATTGAAAATTGTAATTTATTTGATAATTGATTGATGATTACTAGTTTGCCTGTTGGAAGGAATATAAGCACGTGTCCGTTCGATAAAATGACACTGTCAGACGAATTCTGCGATTTTGTCTGAGGCCTGCATCACATGACGGCATGAGCCTGCAGTGGTTTTTAAAACCAGACGCTAAAACTCACTTTCTTTTCATTCATATTTCACACACATCTGAGCCTTCTGTCAGAAAATATAGTCATTTAGGAGCAATTTTGTAAGTGTCATGTTTCTTTTTCCCTCCTAAACATTATTAAATCTAACCACATTAGGAAACTCTAAAACAAGCCTCCATCTGAAATATTTCTTAACACACTAATCATTAGAACACGCAGCTTCCAATTACCTAAAAGAAAAAGCAACAATTTGCAAAGCACTCTTGGGACCGGAGCTGTAATATTAGTTCAGCAGGCATAGAAACAGAAACACTGTTGATCTAAGTGGTGATGAAAACGTTGGGCTCATATAATGGCTGCATCTGTATGTAAGCATGCATGGAATAAACACAACAGCAGCTGAAAGCATACTTTATGTCAATTTGTGGCAATCAGATTGAAATAATCAAACATTTTAAACCCTTCACGTAAAAAAAAAAAAAATAGGCCAGTGTGCTTCCAGAGCAATTTAATTTTTCACCGTGTAGCTACGCCCCGGCAATTGTGCGAGCCGGATTTCAGATGAGAGGCTTCGATTCATCTAATTTAGCTATCGTTTTACAGCACATGTTTTGCGTACTGCTGTTTTTTGGGGGGTTTTTTTGTTTTTTTTTCTTCCTCCTCCTCCTCCTCCCTCCACAGTGTTTCAACAGATCCATCTGCGGGCTCTCTAGTTATTCATGGCACAGCTGAAGTCATTAGGAGTGCTTCTGAAAATGCTGATTATGAATTAGTTACACATATACTAATTGCGTGTGCATTAGTGGCTCAGCGCTCACTAGCTAACAGCAACATTTAGCTCAATCGACAAAACAAACTTCTTTCCCCCTGCATTGGTAACAAGCTAACAAGCTGTTCTCTGTTCCTCTCTCTCTCTCTCTCTCTCTCTCTCTTTGGTTTGCAGGTGTTTCTCGCGGTCGGATCACTTGGCGCTACACATGAAGAGGCACATCTGAGGGACTGGAGAGAGGTCAGCGGGAGTGGAAGAGAGGGGGGAGGGAAGAGGATGGAGAGGCGGAGAGGAGGGGAAAAAAACTGAAAAATAACACCTTGGATGTGAGAGAGAGAGAGAGACAGCGGGATGGAGTCAAGACACTGGGTTTGGTCTTTCTGGGCTGGAGGGAGAGGCACCACACAGGGACGCTGACTACAGACACGCAGCACGCAGACCCATCCTAAGTGGCTCTGTTTAATCTGTGCTCTACCAGTTGGTCCATGATTCCACTATGACACGTCCTCACCTCACAAATGTCTCCGGGCTGTTTGTCACGAGGACGATACAGACGCTCCGTCCCACCCTTCGTATGTGTCTCAGAGGGGATGTCACATGATGAATGGTGGACCGCGTGCCTGTAGTTGGCAGCTCTTTGTTTCAGTCGCCCTTGCAGTCTTTGCAATCAGCTGAAACGCTTCCAAAAAAAAAACAAAACAACAAAAAAAAAAATTAAAAAAAACGCCAGCCCTGGTCATGCAGCAGTGCTCCACATGCCAGCAGGTACACCAATGCCAGACTGGACCAGTTGTACAGTGATTCTAGCGTGCTAACTGCAGAACTGCTGTTTGTATATTCAAGAGTTCCTCCTCTTAGAGCAGTTCTTCTTTTCCGACAGTAGCTTAACGGCATCATCTCACAGGATAAGCAAGCAAGCGAGAAAGCTGGCGTTCACTCAGCCTTTACAATACGCCAAAGGGTTTATTATCTTATATACAGGACAGACAATAATTTGACCTCTGTCACATCTGCCAACTGGATCCATTTATAAATCCTTCTGGTTCGATGGCATCGGAGCACTTGTTTGAACGGAGCATTAGATTGGATTTCCCGAAGACTTGAAGATGGGAGTGTGTTGCACTGATGTAGTGTGAAGACTGATTGAGGTCATGCAGGGGGCCGGCTTGCTTTATGAACATCCATCCATTGAGCGCTACCACTGGATGAGGCTAACTAATCTACTCTGGGGAAGACTGTTCATCTCCCAGACTGTCAGCTGAAGCCGAGCGTCTCGAGAGATGCTGGATGGCTCCTGAGGGCGTTTTTTTTCCTCTCCGGGATCTTGGCTCTTACGAGTTATTGTTAGAAAACTGTTGCACAATTGACTCTTTGCAAAACTTTTTGTAAAAAAAAAATTTTAAAAAATGCCCCACCGTCTTGAACTGGGAGACAGTTTGGGACTCACCGAACGCTGGCTTTCACACGCCGAACGGGGCATGGACAGCCAAATGCACAAGTCCAAGCAGCTAGCTGACTGCGATAGCACACTGAACGCAAATGAGATCACTATGTATGTAAAGGCTATATTGTTTCTAAGAAAAGATTCTCCTATTTGTTCAACAAAAACAATTGAAGAACACATTGGAAATGGATGCAGCCAAAAAAAAAAAACCCACAAATGTCTACTGTAGGTGCCTGAAATGATCTCTTTGGCCTTTGAGAGTGATTGGCACCGAACTAGACACTGGTTTTGCCCTGTTCGCACCACCCATGCAGAACTTTTTCCGATTTTGCAGCTCTCAGACTTCATTTCAGAGAAAAGCAGCACTCAACATCTCTAATCTGGCCCTATGCATATCTAAAAAAAACAAGACATTTCTGCTGACTTCCTGACCCTACATGTTCGTCTGAATGCAGATTTCTACCCTGCTGGACGCTGAAGGCCTCACAGGAAGACACACGACACAAATTCAATCAATTTGGGTGGCTCTTCTCAGAGCGGATCAATGTGAATGTATCTGTTGTAAGTCTGTACATGTTGCTGGGCCCGTGAAAACACTTGAGTATGGCTGGTAAGATCATACCAGACACCATTTGTGTTCATAGTTTCTGTTTTTCACATAACAAATAAAAAGGTTGGACTTAGAGTAACTAGCTAGCCGCAGGTGGTAGCTTTAGGCATTTTACAGGTCGTACCGGACTAGCGGGTGGGGTGGGGGGGGTCGTGAGCGCAGATTTCCACCGGGTGGCTGAAGTAGGATAGGTAGGGGATGCGGATCTGCTCAGTCACCAATGATAACTGCCCCATTAGCTCTTGAATCTGCAGTGGAGTGAAACCCGCATGCACACAATGCAACATATACACACTCCAGCAATACCGGAATCAACATTTCTCCTTGGTCCTCGTCCAATAGAAGAAAAAAAAAAAGAAGAAGAAAAGATGCATAAAAATCTTGCTTTTTGCCACATTACACAGAAAGTGTTGAATCTTGAATAAACAAGTGAATTTTGCGGCTCAACTCAAGCGCACAGCTACGTCAAGGTGTTAATTCTTTTACTTTTTAATACTTTGAGGCAAAGTGAAGCGCACGGCAATCTGCTTCTTGGCAAGGGATACACAAAATTGATTTCACTCTGTACACCAGAGGCACATTTCAATTTGCAGTATGAATGCAGACCAGCTCAGTCATATCTGTCTGCAGCTCTGGAGGTAGATATTGAATCGACACTTTCTTTCTTAATGTGCAAAAAAAAACAATTAATAACACTCAGCATCTAGATGACAGGCCTCTACGTGCAAAGAGAGGAAGGAGTGACCACAATAGAAACCAACTGATACAAGGTTTATCTGCCGGGAGACCAAAAAAACTCATCATCCACTACTTGTCATTAATAAAAGTCATACAGGCGACAAACATTTCAGATTTGGTTCGTAGATCTTGAAATATTCAGTTCATTTCAGATTGGGAATGTCAGAGCAGGTTAGCAGGTTTGTGTTTTCCCTGCTCAGCCCGACTCTCAACGCGGAAAGATAAAATGAAGACTAGCAGTTTAACCCATGGGTTAAAATTGTATCACCAATGGCAGCTCTACTTGTGTGTTTCAGTATTTCAATGGGACGCTCTCCTGTTGAACTGAACTGTTGTGAATGTGTGGGAATGTGCGGCTCTGGAGTGTTATGTTTTTTCTCCATGTTCTGTACCAATCATAGACAGCTGAGGATTTAAAGGAGCCAAGATGCGGAAATATCCCAATCACAGGACCGCTTCAAATCCGGTCCCCGACTCTTCTTCGTGACTTGACATAAACAAAATAGTTCTGTGTGTGTATGTGTACGCCGGGAGGCTCATAAAGTGTGTGGGGAGGGGGGGGGGGATTTCCAAATGTGAATGTGCTTTCTGGAAAGGTTGTTTCATGTTGTCGCCAAGGTTGCGGTTCAGTTTTCGTGTCATCTTAATGAATGATTGTCAATTCTGCTGTGCCTGTGTGTTCTTCGTCTCTTTGTATTTGCACTCTGAATTTTTGGAAATATCACTTGCATATCTGATGTTTTCTGTCCGCTTACACGCTACACCACGCGCACGACGACCCCGGGTGATGAAACACTGATCGCAGAGTCTGTATAGTAGCCGTTTTTTAGCACAAGCGCGCACGCTCATACATACATGTTACATAGACTCACACACGATACAGACACACAAACATACCTACATAAACTACATGCATGCAGACATAGATTCACACATACAAGCGCGTGCTCAAAAAACATATAAATTCATACATGTGTGCACAACATCAAACAACATACATACTCACAGATGCACATACACACACACACACTTCTTCTCCGTTCTCCTTGTGTGTTTTTCACCATTTTTCATGCCACCTTGTGAGAGTCAGAGATCCAGACTGCAGCTCTTGCTCTCAGCAGAGGGTGTGTGTGTGTGTGTGTGTGTGCGTGTGTGCATGTGTGTGTGTGTGTGTATGGAGGTGGGGTGGGTGGGGGCACGCATTACTATGTGTGACACCACCTCTGTTTCCACTAGGTCTGAATTTCAAATCAAACGCACCCCCTTTTTCTACCAGCATTCCCTCATCGCTTCCCCTTCCCTCTCTTCCATTTTCTCAGATATGATCCTTTTCAACTCCTCTGTCCGACCCCCGCCCCCGCCCGCCCGGCCCCATCCTCCACCACCATCACCTCCTCTCTTCCCCTCCCTCCCTTAACCCCCTTCTCCACCTTTTTCCTCCGTTGTCTTTCTCCTTTTCTTTCCGCTGTACAAAGTGTTTCAAATTTATCATTTGTATATTATGATGTATGGGTACGATAATGTTCTTTATTATGGAAAAATGAGAAAGATTTATTTTTGTTACCGGTTTGTTTCATAATTCTTTTTTAAATTGGTATTGTAATATCTCTATGCAAGGAACTGTTCGGTGAATCGTTTTTATTTAAGAATGTAATTATGTGTAATAAATGGTAGAAGCAGTTTGGCATGGAGTATTCATGGTTCTTGGCTGGTCTGTTAATGGTGGCTTCACTCAGCAACAATATGCACCTAATCATCTATCTTTCTCACTGAATATTTTCTGATTTCTTATCAAGCCTCAATCACAGGGCCATTCAGTTTGCTAACAATAAGCGCCCGGAGAACATTCACACACCCTTTTCGCTTTTTATTCTCACTGACCAGAGCGGAGCCCAAGTTAACTCCTGCTGAGGGTTCGCGTTCACACTGCGATTTTCAGACTTAAATCTGCAAACCAGCTCGGTAAGAAGTGGGCAGGGAAATCAATTTACATCCTTTTCTGTGCCATTTGCAGCAAACTACCCTTGGATGAATTAAAAAAAAAAAAAAAAAATGATTTATCGTTCCTTTTGATCAAACAGGAAAAATGGGCCAGAATACCTTCACTTTGCCTGAATGCACTCGCTCGCTGTCTCCCTCTGAGGGAGCTACGGCATGTTAATTACATCTGTTACCAACCAAGGTGATGACTTATCCGCTATTCCTGCCTTTTGACCATGACTAGCTGATAAAAGGGTAATCGAATAACTAATGGATAATTAGGGAGTAATTACTCCCTGGTAAATGGCCCTATGCAGTGTATTAATTCTCCTTGGGTCTGGCAGTGAGAAACTCCCATAAGGTTTTTTGTTTCATTTAATGCTCCCTAATTGAAATGGGCACCCTCATCAAGAAGCTTACATGTATCTGTCGAACTTAATGTTCTTTTATCTGTAATTACAGACAGCCGCATATTAT